AAGTTAATGGAGTGATTCCTGTTGCTATGGTTACCTGCATATTTACCTTGAGGTCACCATGTAGATATATCATAGACTGATGTTAGTCATCAGTATATTACCAATAATCACTGTTATTGATCTTACGTCCAAGATGAGGAAGTCAAGCCAGCACCAGGCATCACTGAAGTACTTCTTGAGTCCTAAGGCAGTCCACTTGAGAAGCATCTCCAGCAGGAACAGGTAGGTGAACAGCTGGTCTGCTGTCTCCACGACCCTCTTTAAGACCAGACGATGCGGCAGATAAACGTCTTCAAACGCCTGTTCACATACACAGTCCCGTTAACACCTGCACAGGTCAACTGACTATATTTCATATTCTATTGATCAATACCAATAACATTAGAGAACAACAGATACAACGGACCCAATAATTGCAGGAAGTCTGTGCGAAACCAGAAATTTGGATAAATTATTCTCTGTAAATGAAATATATATATATATAAACTCAAGAAGGCCTTGCAACCCCCGTGTAGCTTTGGCGACCCCTAGTGGGGGTCCTGACCCTCAGGTTGGGAACCACTGATCCAGAATAAAACCTTCTCTGTAATCGGTTGGTCGCTGTCTGGAGGGTGTGAGTTGGCTTTTTGTTCGCGGGGGCTATATGCTAGGCTAATCGATGTTGGAAAGACAACCACATTTTGAAGAAGGTTAAAAGATAAAAGAGACATTTATATAGTCACATCTTAAGTTAGGTAATGTTAGCATAACAGTTAGTTGTTGTTGTTATTGTTTACCAGAAATGCACTGCTTAGCAGGATGATGAGGATGATGAAGATGTTAAAGTATTTGTGTTGTATGATGAAGAAACAGGCTTTCCTGAAGTTAGACCAGATCCTCCCTCCGCCCTGAGACATGTCTATGTTCAGGAACGGACAGCATTGGTAACACTCTGAAATATACATGTGAAGACTGATCAGAGGTGTTATTGATCATTGATTGGCTCCTGTTCTTCATCAGAAAGACTCGTACTGTCACTGCAGCAGTCCTCAGGGGTGTTTCCTTTATCATCTTCATCGTGTTCATCCTGCTGGACTTCAGGATGTTTCTGCACGTTGTCACACTGAACAAATACATCCACAGACTTTATTATTATTATTATTATTATTATTATTATGACTCACCAGCTGTAAGCAAAGTCAGCATTAAATATAAAATTACTGACTGCAGTTCACTGAATGGCCACTGGTGGTGCTGTTAGCTACAGTTTAATGATTACTTACATACAGGAGCTTTAAGATACTAAATATGTATTTATTTACTGTTGTTTATGTTGTTCACTCTTCAGACTATGACATTACTATCAGATAAAAAATAATAAGTAATACTACAAAATCTAATATTTTGTAGTTCTGCTCAAACACGCTACAGTTTATCTTACCCTTTTCTCTTCATTTTCAGGTGTCTTGGATTCGATCTGGATCTCGGTCGTGGTGATGGGGACCTTCCCGGGTCCGGTGTTGCTGATCTGGTTGCCATGGTTACCACTGACCTCTGAAGTCACACAGGTCAAAGCCAGGTAGTCCTTCCTGTTGTCCTCCTGACCGTTGACCACTAACAAGGAAAACTCAGTAAATAATCAATAAATAAAGTCCGCTCTGGGCCCTGGTCTGGTCCTACCTGTGTGGTCTGGGTTGACATGGTTCTTCCTTCCCAGAACAGTCCAGAAATGGTCCAGGATCCAGCTTTTGTTGATCCGGCTCATGGCGGTCTGCAGGTTGTTCTTGGTTTCTCCTGGGGCCTCTAGACTATCACTTAACGAGGTCAGCAACAAGACCACAAACAAATTCAGGACCTGAAACAAGACCAGGAATAGACTTAGTACCTGTACTTATACCCCCAACCTCTGACCCTAGACCTGGATCTGTTGTAGCTGCCATGCTGGACTCTGGATGATCAGTGAAGAACGAGGCTCACGTCATAGACTCACCAGCAGGTTTCCGATGACCAGGACCATTATGAAGAAGACCAGACACGTGGTCTGACTTGAGACCTCCATGCAATTCCACATGGTCTCGATCCAGTCCCCACACAGGACCTTGACGATGATGAGGAAGGAGTTGAAGAAGTCGTTCAGGTGCCAACGAGGAAGCTGACAGTCCGCTGCAATAAGACAGATTTGGACGTGGTCTTTGTAGTCCTTCTGGAAGACTTGCATGCCAACCATGGAGAACACAAAGACCATGATCACAAGCAGGATAGTCGGGTTCCTTAGAGCCCGGACAGTGGTCCAGATGGTCTTCAGCATCAAATGGAAGGAGGGCCACCACCGGGCCAGTCTGAAGACCCGCATCTGAACAGGAGATAGACAGGTAGATAGACAGTGAGTATTTGGTAATGTTCGCGATGATGATGATGATGATGATGATGATGACGGTGATGACGGTGATGACGTCACACTGACCAACAAGAAGTAGCTTGAGAAATTCTCCACAGACAGATACAGCAGATTGAGGGCGACGATGATGCTGTCAAAGATATTCCAGCCCACCTGTAACGTAGCAACAGCCACAGTCACACACACACACACACACACACACAGGTTACCCGGGAACAACTGTCACGTTACCATGGCAACAGTCATCATCTGTTAGCTGCTGACCTGGAAGAAACCATACGGGTCCATGGCCACGAGTCTAAGGACCAGCTCAGCTGTGAAGATGGCAGTGAAGACCTGAGAGAGGTCAGAGGTCAGTAAGGAGACAGTAGACAAACAGTGGTCAGAGGTCACCTGCACTGTCTATCTCTCATCTCTCATCTCATCTTCATCCGCTTATCCGGGATCGGGTCGCTGGGGTAGCAAGTCAGCAGAGGACCCAAACTTCTTTCCCTGGGCTCATCGGCCAAACCCCTGACAATAGAGAGAGAGAGGATGCTGGTGTTTCCCAGGCCGTGTTGATATATCTCTCCACCTGGTCCTCAGTCTGCCCCGTGGCAGAAGAAGCGGCTCAACTCCGAGTCCCTCGCGGATGTCCGAGCTTCTCACCCTATCCCTAAGGGAGACGCCGGCCACCCGAGGAAACCCATTTTGGCCGCCTGGACCCAAGATCTTGTTCTTTCGGTCACGACCCACTGTATATATGTGTATTATTGCGTAAATAAACTAAATGAAATGAACCGACTGTTGCTATAGCAATCTGCTATATATATAACACTGTCCACTGGGGGGCAGTGTCCCATCCATCAGACCACAATGTAAACAGCCCATATGAAGAGTTTGCTGTTTGAATCAAACTTTATTAACACTCACCAGTTGAGCGACAGACAGCTGCAGCTCAAACTCCATCGCCATTGGGAAATGTTCCATTGCCGTGACGACGGTGTTAAGGACAAGACAGATAACGATCCCAAGGTCGAAGAACGGGTTCATGACGATAGTGTAGAGACACCGCTTGAGCCCCCGCCAGCAGCCACAACAGTCACACTTCAGGAAGAGGTCTACGAAGATCCCCCAGCAGGGAGAACAGGACTTCTGTGTACCTTCAGTGTGATTGTGGTCCTCAGAGAGCGCCGCCCCACAGGTTGCCTGCTGTAATTACAACACACACAGTAAAAACTAAATCCAGCAGTTACATTTACACTGAACAACAGGAAGGCTCACCTCCTCTCCCTCTCTCCTCCTCAGCGCCTCCACAATCTGACCCAACTCTTCTTCTTTCTGTCTGGCATCGGCAGCAGCAGCCTCCTCCTGCTCACCGGTTGCCATGGCAACCACCGCCACAAAGAGGCTGAGGATGCAGAAACAGGCAGGGAACGAGAGGAGAATGAAGAATGCCAGAGAGCTCTTACCTGCTGCTTGTAACGTCTGCAGACAGACAGGCAGGAAAGAGACAGACAGGTTGTTATTAGTGATTATTTAAGTGATTCCAGATATCGTCAGAGAACCCGGTTAAAGCAGTCTGTGTACTGGGACCAGGTACTGACCTTCAGGACCAGGTCTTCCCAGTCCCGAGTCATCAGTCTGAAGAGAGCCAGCAGAGACCAACCAATTGAGTCGTAGCTGCTGTAGCCATAGTCCGGGTTACTCCCGGCCTTCAGACAGGAGTAACCTTCCGGACAGACCCTGAACACAGCATCAGATTATTATTATTATTAATTCAATTCAATTTCAATTAAATTGTATTTGCACAGCACCAATTCATAACAGAAGTTTACAGAGACCGCAAATAGTACCATCAATAAAGGCAACACTTGGCGACAAGGGGCAAGGAAAAACTGGCTTTTAACAAGGAAAGAAACCTAGGACAGATCCTTCGGCTCTAGGTGGGTGGTTGTCTGTCTCAAAACCAGTTTTGGGGTGAGAGAGAGAAAGAGAGAGAGAGAGAGAGAGAACAAGAGAGAGGAGAGGAGAGAGAAGAGAACCAGAGAACAGAGAGGAGACAGACAGACAGACAGACAGGGTGCATAAGCCAAGCACAGTATTGGTAATGGCGAATGCCAGCAGGACTGCAAATGGCAGGAGGGCTCCACCAGGATCCGATAAGAACCGTGCAAGACGATCAAGCAGCAAGACTGCCGGGGAAGAAGTGAAGATTAGTAACATGGCATTAATGGGACATGAATGAGTGCAGAAAGAGAGAGAGGGAAGAGAAGGAGCTCAGTGGCACGCATGGGAAAATCCCCGATAGTCTAGGCCTATAGCAGCATAACTAAGAGATGGTTCAGGAGCTCCACCTTGACGCCCAGTCCTAACTAAAAGCTTTATCCAAAAGGGGAACGTCTTAAGCCTAACTCTTAAATGTGGAGAGGGTGTCTGCCTCCCCCGAACCAGCACTGGAAGCTGGTTCCACAGGAGAAGGGGCTAGGTAACTGAAGGCTCTGGCTCCTGTTCTACTTTTAGAGACTATAAGGAACCAGCAAGTAGCCCAGCCATTCAGAGAACGTAGTGTTCTAGAAGGGGTAAGGATAGGGGGGTACTATGAAGCTCTTCAAGTTTACAGAAGGCTGACGCATGAAGAGCTTTATAGTTGAGGAGGAGAATTTTAAATTCCTATTCTAAATTTTACAGGGAGCCCTATGCAGAGAAGCTAGAAAGCCAAGGAGAGATGTGATCTCTTTTCCTAGTTCCTGTCAGTATCGTGCTGCAGCGTTTTGGATTAATTGGAGCCGTTTTTAATAACTTATTAAGGCAACCTGAATAATAAAGGAGTTGGCAGTAATCCCAGCCCTAAAAGAAGTAACAATATGCATGGATTAGTTTTCTGCCATCTGTCTGTGATAGGATGTGTCCTAATTTTTGTAAAGTATTACGTATGAAAAGAAGGCAGTCTAGAGATCTGCTTTATATGGGAAAAGTTAAATGAAGCAAATCAAAGATAACTAAAAAAACAAGATTCCTGACAGTGTGCTAGAGCCCAAGGTAGTGCCATAATAGATAAAGCTATATCTTTAGATAGTGAGTCTGAGATTTTTGGGGCCCAAGTACAAGAATTTCAAGTTTTTTCTGAGTTTAACATCAGAAAAATTGGCAGCTCATCCAGGATTTTATGTCCCTTAAGACATGTTTGTAATTTAGATAACTGAATAATTTCAATCGGGCTTTGAATTGATAGATATAACTGCGTATCATCTGCATAACAGTGAAAGTCAATGGAGTGATTCCTAAGTTCCTTGGAGTGGATCTTGCCAATTGAGTGATATTCTGATAATTTGGAAGAGCACCATTTTCCTGTTCCCGATTCCCTTTTCTTAGGCTTTTTGCTTTTAATTGGCGGGTTTGTGGTTGTACCCACGGTGCTAGTTTCCCTAATGTTTTAATAATTTCCTTTTATAGGAGTGATTAGAGTCCCTGAATGTTCTTCGTAGTGAGCCCTGGCAGCACTATCAACAAGATTATCAATTTCGGAGGGACCTAAAAGTTATATAAGACTGCTGTTAAATTCAGACCCCATGGCATTGAATTGAACACTGAAGGAAATCTCCTCCCTTAAATTTAGGCTACAGCACTGTCAGATAGACCATCTGCTGTAGGAAGTTTTTGCTAATGGCTTATAAATGCTAATAGTATGAAATTAAAAAGTTTATTAAATAATGGTCAGATAGGAAGAAGGATTATGGTGGGAAGACTATTAAATGTTCAATATCAAGTGCCATAAAAATGACTAGAACGAGGTCAAGGAAGTTGTGATAAAAGTAGTAGTAGTAGTAGTAGTAGTAGTAGTAGTGTAGTAGTATCGCGATATTATCAGTTTATTATTGTTGTTATTAGAGGGTTGGGTGGTAAAGAGAGAAGGAGAAAAAAAAAAAAAAAAAAAAACAGAGAACAAGAGACATATGGTGAACAACAACAAACAACAAACAATGGCAACCAACTATACTAATAGAAATTACTATTTTTAATCTCCAAAAAAATAAAATAAAATAAAAAAATTGCTCCTAGCAGGGGGATCACAACACCAATCTTTGCCTGATGATGATGATGTGGACTAATAAATATGAATAATGTTTCATCCCGTGTTATTGTTGTTTGTTGTTTATTTTATTGTATATGTATGTTGTTGTCGTTATTATTGTCATTGCTGTTGTTAGTGGTAGGCTGTTGTTGTTATTGTTGTTAGCTGTTGTTCTTTTTAATTAGGTTGTTTATCCCAATATAAAACGACTGGGCATCAGAGGTGTTTTCCACACCAGAAGAGGATTAAGTTTTATCCGGCAGGGAAAAGTAGCTGGGTAACTCTAGCAAGGAGTGTCAGACAGAGCAGACAGACAGACAGACCAGACGGATAGACGTGAGCGCCCCAGACAGACACAGATTTTGGCATTGATTATTGAACCTTTAATTATGTTCCATATCTTACATTTATGATTGATCCCTTTTTTGTACTTTATATATTGATTGATTGATCCTTTATTTAAGCAGTTTTGTCCCTCTAGACATCAAACCAGTAACTAACAGTACTAGCAGTAGTATTTACCCTACAGGCCAGCTAACAGTAACTACAGTAGTATTACCTAAACAGCACTAAGTGAGTATGTTACGGCGTACAGTAGCGTACCAGTAGCATTACGCTACAGTACTACAGTATACAGTAGTATTACCTATAGTACTACAGTACTAAGTAGTATTTACCCTAGCCAGTAGCTACAGTAAAGTATTACGCTACAGTACTAAACAGTACTACAGTAGTATTTACCTACAGTATTACAGCACACAACCGAGTAGCATTTACGGTACAGTACTAGGAGTAGTATTACCTAACAGTACTACAGTGAGTATTACCTACAGTACTACAGTGTGCTACATACAGACACAGTAGTATGTTACGCTACAGTAACTACAGTAATTGTTACCGTACCAGTACTACAGTCAGTATTTACCTAAAGTACTATAGGTAGTTTACCTAACCAGTCTACAAGTAGCTACAGTGAGTATGTTTACCTACAGTACTACAGTCAGTATTTACCTAGCCAGTAAACTAGCGTAGTATTTACCGTAACGTACTAAAAGTAGTTTACCTACAGTACTAACAGTACTACCCAGTAGTATTAACCTACAGTACTACGTAGTATTTACCTTAAGAAGTTACTATAGTGAGTTTACCTACAGTACTAACAGTACTACAGTAGTTTTACGCTACAGTAACTACAGGTAGTATTACCAACAGTACTACAGTAAGTGTTCCTACAGTACTCAGTACTACAGTAGTATTACCCTACAGTAACTGACAGTAGTGATTTTTACATACTGATGTCA